AGAGTGCTGTGTTTCGGATTAGTGTGAGAATGACTTTGATAACACACTGTGGTTGTTGCTACATAGTGTTTATATTAAGTCAAGGACTTTTCATGTTCTCATGCTCTGCAAGCGAGAAAGCTGGAGAGGCACAAAAATTCAGGAGGGGACACAGCCCAGACAGCCGACTGAACCTGGCCACAGGAATATTTCATACCACCTGATGTCATCTTGGTATATAAACTGAGGGGAAAGCTGGCCGGGGGCTGCTCAAGAACTGGCTGGGCACTGGCTGGCAAGTGACGACTGACTGCATTGTACCTCACTTGTTTTGTATCATCTAATTCTCTTTTTTTTTATTCCTATTATCATTACTATTTCTTCCTTTTCTGTCCTGTTAAACTGTCTTTATCTCAACCCACAAGTTTTACTTTTTTTTTTTTTCCCTGATTCTCTTGTCCATCCTGGTGGGGGGAGAATGAGCCAGAGGGTGCTTAGTGCTTAGTGCTTAGTTTCAAGCTGTCCTGTAACCACAACAGAGCTGAAGATTGAGTACTTCTCCAGGACTTCAGAACAGCTAGGACAGATTCTCAGCTTCAGAGTTCTGGGAGCAAAATGTTCTGTGCTTGTGTAAGGGAACACAAGCTACAGAAAACTCAAGGAAATGCCATCACAGGTCTTATACGCCGCAGAGCTTGTGCCACCACAGCTGTGGGAAACTGTCAGCTTAAGGGTACGTATTTTTGTACTTGCTGGGCTCCAATCTCTGCGACATAGACTGCTCCACTCTTCATGTCTACATCCACAAGGTGTGGTTTTGTTTCGTCCGCCAGCTGGACTGTGCTGACCATAACACAGTCCCCAATAGAGCCAACCAGTGGTGCTGCCAGGATTGCTAACCGGTTCATGTTCAGCTGAGCTACAATCAGATATTTGTAATCGGCAGTAAATCTGTGAAAGATAGAAATATATTTTTAAATTATGAATGGCCTGTGACACCTTATTTTAAAGCAACCCTGCCCTTTTAAATAAACAAAACCTCCTTAATAGCAAAGTTTTTGAAGGCTACAGCAAAGCAAATGCAGTGAACCACTGAAAATTATCTTGTAAGCCTTGCTCTACATGTTGCTGCTCCTTGACAGATGATGATACAGAAAAATCATTCAAGATAACCTCTCTGTCTGTATAAGCTGCAACAGTAAGGTCAACAACACACAACAACTTGAAAATGTAGTTGCCAAATCTGCACTCAAAGCCACAGGCCTTGTCACAAAGCCAGGATTTCACTGTCAAGATACAACTGTGCAGATCTTTGCACATGCTTAAGACAGCACCCTGTTAGTTCAACTGGTTAACTCCTTGCCATCAGGCATTAAATATCAATATTTCAATTCACCAGAAGCAGTACACCTTATTTACATAATTGCATGCTTCTAGAAGAACTGTTTGACAATACCTGACAGAATAGGGTCCGTCTTCTGAAAAACAGTCGTTCCAAGACCCAAGCCATTCCCCCGTGACTTTATCAAAAACTTGGATTCTTTTGTTATCTCTGTCTGCCACCCACACCTGTCAAGAACAAAAATCGTGGCTGTTTGCAAATAGAACAAATCAAACACATTGGTTTCTTACAGAAGTATCCTGTAGTTAAAAAAGAAGTACACATTCTAGTAATGCACCTCCCCATATAGAACTACATAAGCAGGTATGCTTTCCAGATACAGAACAAAACCACCACAGAGTTAACATACACAAGTTATTTTACACCAATTTAGCAGAGAAATCAGTGCCTTCTCTTAATTTCTGTGGCTACGATAAGGATATATTTAGTATGATTTTTTTTTTCTCCCCAGTGAGGACACATTCCCACTTAGTTCTAAAGACACCAGTCTCGCCAGCTAACAATTTGTCAGCAGCAGGCTCATTTCATGAATCAGGCTTATAGTGAGTGCATGTGCAAACACTCTTGATATGCCTAATGCTACTACAAATATTGAGCAACTTAAACTAAGGGCATTTTCAGCATGTTCTGTCTCATCAGTCTTGTGGAGATTGTCTCTGTCCCACCCTGGGCTATCTGGGATCACAAAAATGCAAGCTAGCAGTTATCATTAAACAGTTCCAGCAAAGGCATCTCTTGTACTAAAATCGTTGAAGTCTGAGCTGTTGCAGTTTGCTTATCAGAATGACGAGGTGTCCTGACTTTTCTAGGATGTCACCCAAAAGGGAGCAATAAACAAGCTGACCAGAGATCTTTCATCACTATTTTTAAATGAAGCACTACTACAGCATTCTCTTATGTTTCTTATGAATTAACAATTATTTTTAACCCAGGCTGATGATCAACACTATATTGGCAACAAAATTGCAGCCCATCACGTCTGTCTCACAGATACTGTTCAACACAAAGTGAGCATGTCCCTCCCCTTCTCCCTTCCACTCTGCCACTTTTGGAAGAGAAGTGATTTTTATATTTGTTTCTTATTCCGGTTCAGACAGTGTCAGCAGAATTAGTGCAAACCAGCGATTTAAGAAGTTTTAGTCAAGTAATTTTATTTTCCCTGAAAACAGGTTAAGGAGTGACCATGTAATTCCTCTGCAAGAACAGCAAAACAAATGTCAGACTACGATTAACACTTGGCAGAAGAAGACTCTTGAAAACCCCGAGTTGCATGTAGAAAAGGAATCAGTTCCACAACCTAACTAGAGTCTTACTATCGTCTTAAGCTTATTTGGAATTTCCAAAATTTGATAGTCCCCTGAAGAAATGTGATGGGGTAGATATTTATTATGGAACAAAATTCTCCTGTATGCTCACAACTGCAACCTGTTTAGAAACTGCAGAAGGAAGAGTCTGCTGCTGCACAGACACTGACAATGCAACTGGTCAGAACCCCTGGATCAGCCTTGGAGCCAGCGACTTCATGACAATCTGCAGCATCAAACTTCAGCTCATATCCACTATCACACTGAAACTGTAATACTCATAAATTGAGACTCCAATCAGTTCAACAGTTCAATTAAAAAAAGAAATACAATTTCTTTTGCTCAAATACATGTAAACAAGCCTGTTGGAAGATGGGAAAAAAAAAAAAGCCCTTTATTCTTTACCCGTCCAACAGAATCCACTGTTACACTGTGAGGAATCTTGAACTGACCAATGCCGGTGCCATTTGTTCCAGTCAGCCAGATCTCTTTGTAATCTGAACAGCAAGCATCATGAAAAATAAAAGTTAAAAAAATACAGTACGAAAACAGCACAGCTTTAAGTCATTCCCTTGCAAAGTTACTTTGAGTAATGTTTAAAAGGGGAAATTTCTAAACTCAAGACTTTAAAACAGAGCACTCCTGACCAAGTATTTCCTGTGTTTCTGTGACTACTGGATTGTTATGAGTGGTTTTAGGATTTTGGTCACAGAAACGTAACCACTGCTACACAAGAGCCATAGTCAAGGCTCTGCTAAGCACTGTATATAAAAAAAAAATAATAGTTGGCTGATTATGTTATTAATTCGTTTACTAAATGAAACTGTTTACATTTGTTACCTGGCAGTTTTGAGTTTTAACAATTTACCATTTTGCAAACTAGGTATTGGGAAACCATTTGAATAGTCGTACAAAGGAGAAATGGTAGCTCCTCAACTTCTTCCTAACTACAGTCATGCACAGACTCCTCACTCACTGCCCTAACCAGCACTGATCATCTGACTGGGGAATACAAGCAGCTAAGTAGAATCATGGAATAATTTAAGTATAAAAGATCTCCAGACACCATCTGGTCTGACCCGCTTCTCAGAGCAGGACCAGCCTTGATAAATCCATTGCTAATTTTTAGACCTGGTTGCTCATAACTCATCAAGCTTTGATTATCCCCAGAAGTGCAGACTGCACACCATATCTGGGCAAACTATTTCCAGTTTAATCAACCTCACAGTGAATTTTTCACACCAAAAATCAAACTGGAAATCGTCTCTCTTACATCTTTTGCTCAGTGTTCCTCATTATTCACTGTGACTCTCCAAGAAATGTGTGTCCCTGTCCACTCATATCTTCCCGTTACTGACTTGAGGATCCCCCTTAGCCTTCTCTCTTGAAGGCTGAAGAAACTCATTCTCTCAGCCACTTGTCATAAATGATTAGGAGATTTCTCTTTAAGTTAAAAGGAAAAAACAGGATCTGATTCAACAAAGTCTTCAAATTAATCTTAAATGACATATTCAAAAGCTGTGTTATTTAAAATTCAATTTTCAATGGTCACCTACTGCCTAAGTTCACTTTTCCTTACCGTTAGATAGTTTGAGCAATCGGTTATTCATTCCTCCATCTCCATCCACAACATACATATCTCCACTTTCCTCCACAAAGACCTCTGCTGGTTGATCAAATTGTAGGGGAATCAAACTTGAACCAGCGTTACCTGGTGTGCCCAAGATCTGCAGAAGTTTACCTGAAGGGCTATACTGTTTCACAGTGTGCCCATATTTCCCTGAATTAAGAAAAAAAAAAAGTGCAAAAAAAATCTTAACAGAACACAATACAACTATTACAACTGGTTACAGAGATTAAAAAAGAAAATCTCTTGATACTTGCAAGTGATATTAATAAACAGACAAAATTTAATAGTGAGACTATGACTGTGAGTTAGTAAATCCATAGGCTAGAGAAATAGTATTATTTAACGTCTTTATCAATGACCTGGATGAGGGGATTGAATGCACCCTCAGCAAGTTCGCAGATGACACAAAATTAAGCAGAAGTGTCGATCTGCTGGAGGGCAGGAAGGCTCTGCAGAGGGATTTGGACAGGCTGGAGTGATGGGCTGAGGCCCATTGCATGAAGGTTATCAAGGCCAAGTGCCGGGTCATGCACTT